CAAATGCTTTGCACAAGCCCAGGTACATGACACTGGTTGCCCACCCTCTGTCCACCAAGGTTGTGACCGTAGAAGCCAAGCCACCATATTCGTCAGGCATGATCTGCCCTCGGTGAAGCCATGCTGGCTGTCACCTATCACCTCGTCATTCTCCATGTGCCTCAGCATGGTTTCCAGGAGGATCTGCTCCATGATCTTGCCAGGCACAGAGGTGAGACTGAGTGGCCTGTAGTTCCCTGGATCCTCCTTTTTTTCCTTTTTAAAGATGGGTGTTATGTTTCCCCTTTTCCAGTCAGCGGGAACTTCACCAGTCTGCCACGACTTCTCAAATATGATGGATAGAGGTTTCACAACCTCATCTGCCAGTTCTTTCAGGACCTGCAGATGTATTTCATTAGGTCCCATGGACTTGTGTACCTTCAGGTTCCTTAGGTGCTCCTGAATCTGATTCTCTCTAACCATGGGTGGCTCTCCATTCTCCCAGTCCCTGCCCTTTGCCTTCTGTGACTTTGGGGGTATGGTTTGTGTCATTGCCAGTGAAGACCGAGGCAAAAAAAGCATTGAGTACCTTGGCCTTCTCCATATCCTGGGACACCAGCTCTCCCGTTTCCTTCCGCAGGGGCCCCACATTTTGCCTGATCTTCCTTTTATCCCCTATATACCTATAGAAGCCCTTTTTGTTAGCAAATGATAGAATCTATATATTAGTCATAGTTTTTGATAATTTTACTCAGAGATTGAGAGTACAATCTTTAGTAGTTTCCTTAAACTGGAATTATGCTGAATTCTAAATTGTATGTCAGACAAAATAAAGGTTATGTTCTAATATGTATTCAGCAGTTTTTAATAGAGATAGTATACATATCCAGAGATATAATGCTTATTTCCTGTTCTTATGGGAAAACTTGTGAAATGTGACCCTCTTGTGACATTAGTGATGCTTGCTTATTTGACTTCATGGCTGATATCCGTGATATCCAGATTCTGTGGAGAGATACCAGTGACTTCTTCCCTTTGTCTGACTTTTGTCAATGTGATTTCATTTTTCTCTCACTTTGCTCCTTTTTCAGATCCGTGGCCATCATGTGGCACAGCTGGATCCCCTTGGAATTCTGGATGCAGACTTGGATTCGTTTGTTCCATCTGACTTAATCACTACAATCGATAAACTTGGTGTGTACACTGTGTGCCTTGTTATTTGCAGTGGTCATTTGTCTTTCGTCTCATTGGGCTGAGGTGATTTAATAAGACATTTCAGGGAAGCTTCTACTTTTTCTGCATGCTGGTATCATGAAATAGTTTCTTTGAGCTTCTTAAGGAGGCTCAAATTTCAGGACAGTGGAATTTCTGCTCTGAGATCACAGTTGAGGTTCCTGTGAATTCACCTTCCAATGAATGATGATTATAAAGACTTCATAAAAACACAAATCTTACGGTTTAGAACCACACCAGAAATTAATACTAATCAATACATTAGGCTAAGATTCTGGTAGTCTAAATTACATTTATACCATTATGCTTGATACTTGTTTTGACTGGGAATATCTGAAGACTAGTCAATAGGAAACACAAGCAATAAACAAAACACTGGCTGGAGGAATTTAGGTAAATTTCATGTCAGATTTGGATTCTAGCCTCTGATACTTACTTCTGTATAACTTGAAGTCTGATGTTATCAGAAGAAAACAGAGAAGTGTCGAATTCATGACTTGTGTGTGTAATTCAGTGGTGATCATTTTAGTTTGCTGCGGGAAGAGTGTGTAATACACTAGGGTTTGCTTTTGCTGAAGTTGTTCTGGTTGCTAAGAGAGCATGCCTTTTTGGGAAATTGCACATACCAATTTCTTTGCTCCTCTCTGCTTGAATAAAAATTGTCTGTTTGATCTTTCTCTACTCTTCAATCTACCTGGTATGTTTTAAAGGTGGTTTTCTACATGATAAAGACACTGAATCAATTTTTCTTTGATATGTAGGAAAGGTTTTTGGAGCAGACATAAAACATAGTGCAAGTAGTAGGTAAAACACATTCCACTTAATCTTACAGTAAATACATCTCCTGCCTCTTTGCAGCTGTGTTTTCTGTTTCTGGTGGTAGCGAAAGAAGCAGTTCTGACCCTTGATCATATAAAGGCAGTGGAGTGCTTAAGACTGTAAATAGAGGTGCTTACACAAATCAGGGATTCTCTTTGAAGTTTGTCAACTTTAATTAGAGCAAAGTGCCTACTGGAAAATACACTGGACATTTACCGAGTAAATATAATTTGTTTGGAGCACGGGTGATTGCTAGCATGTCAGTACAAATTTCTTAAAGCTCTACAGATATTTTAGTACAAGGTGTTGTGATTGGTCAGAGAGCATCATCATACTGAAGCCCTCTTGAGCATAGGAAAAATATGCTAGACCTCTGAATGAGATGGGGGGATGTGCCTGAGAGTGTAACTGAGGTGATATTTCAGCTTCTGAGGGGAAACAAAGCTTTCTAACCTGGTCTTGGCACAACAAAAAAGAGGAGGATTTCAGATGTTGCCTGTGCTTGGATGTTCCAGGCAAGAAACTTATGAAAGGTCTCTGGTAGTACAGAAAGTATTTCAGTGTTGTTTTTTCTGTGCAATTTTGGTGCTATCTTTGGTTTCTTTTTTGAGAAACCTTCTGGTCGGAAGTTTATTCTAGGGGTTGCTTCTAAAAATGCAGCTAGTTACAGGTGTACCAGCTGCATAAGTCAAGTTACAGAATTGCTTCCAGGAATTCTTGGATCTCAAGAAGACTATCTCTTTAAACATGAGGTGATGCTTCAGTAACTATGCATTGCTGCAGTACAAAGCACAGATGTTCTGCATGTGCCCAGATCACTCCTGGATGTGTTCTGGTTTTTGCATGACAGAACATGAAGAGCCTGTGAAGTCTGAGAGGAAGCCAGCGAAGGGGAAAAAAAATAATGCTACCAGTGCTTTATTTCAAGTAACGCTAAAGCTCCTGTCATCCCCTGTGTCCCTACCTTTTCTCCATTTTTTAAAATCTGGGGGGTTTGGTAGCATTTTAGAAAACCAGAATTACTTTGGTGCTGGAAAAAACTGTTAGGGTACCAAAAAGGAGAAACAGTGGTACACAAACACATTTTTAGTCACTCCACGTTAGACATTTTAATATTTTAATAAAACTAGTATTAAAACCAAAACTAGTATTTCAAAATATTATTTTAAAATATATTATTTTTAAAACACAAAATGTGGTGTAACTGATAATGCTGTATAGATAAAATGGTGTCCACGCAGCCCTATTGCATAACTTCAGCCCTAAATGCTAAGTTCCATTATTAGTTCATCTTTAAATTGCTTCTTTAACAGGGAATGCGGAGCACTATTCTATATTGATTTAAGAGTTATGTGCAGGCTGTCATATCAGTGTTCAAGTGGATGCCTGCAGCTTACCCGGAACCACAACAGAGAGTTTAAAATTGAAAATAGAGAAGCTGTTTTTTTTTTAAATATTTTTACATGTGCACACAAACCTAATATGGTTATAGAAACTTCTATATACAGAAAATTGTTATCTGTATTATAATCTTTATACATTTGTACATCTTATAGGATTATAAGAAGCTATTTTTCCTTTCTTCATGTAACAGGTATAGATTAAACTTCAACACACAAATCCTTTGAATTGCGTTGGTACCAGTCTTTCAGTCTTGTCTGTTGTGTGTTTTGGCTTTTGAAACTGTGTAATAGTTTAGTTAAATATTCTTTTAAAACCATATTCTCGTCCAGAACAAGTTTAGATACGCCTAAATCAAAATGGGATGATATACTTCAAGCTCCTGTTTTATTTGGTGGGGGTATGGAAATCTGGCTGGTTTATAAGGGGTTGCTGATTGGGAAGTAGAGCTGTACAGATCATTACATGGCTATTTCAAACTAACTTCCCTATAAAGAGAAGGAGAGTGACTAGAGGTACCTCGTAAGCTCTACTGGAGTGTTTGCCCAGTGTTACATTGAACATGTTCTGTGTTTTCTCTTAGTCTATCTATTAATGTTGTATGAATTAATGTAGTATGCTTCCAACCAACTGGTTCTGCCTGTGAAAACTGGTTCTTTTGTGTTTGTGGCTCGTGACAGAGCAAGGAAGAAATCACAGTCATTACAGTTAGTTATTTTACTAAACAGTGAAGTGCAAAATGTAATATGGAGAATTGATGGCATATATGGTAATATGCTAAAATATAAAAAGGTCTGGATGATTTTAATTTCAGTTGTTCTACCTGAGCATTTAAGAAAAATTGGTTTGATAATTCTAATAAAACAATATTTAATAAAACATTTCTTTTTGAAATCTAGACTAAACTGCATTGTACTAATGGATGCTTCCAAAATATTCACACTTTCAATTCTTAATTTGATACCTTCTTTCTTAATCTTGCTTTATTAAACATAATTCGTGGTGGTTTGAAAACCAGTGCTGCTTTCCTTTTTATCTCCTGCCCTGCTTTACAAATTGATAATGTACCTGTTGTAGGGTTTTACGGTTTGCATGAATCTGATTTGGACAAAGTCTTTCAGCTGCCTACAACCACCTTCATTGGAGGAAATGAGAACAGTCTTTCTTTACGAGAGATCATCAAACGGTTGGAGGTCAGTGGGATGGTTTTTGATTCATGATTGTTTTCATCCAGACAGAAGTGAAGGTTTTCCCATTGTCAGTCACAAAAATTATTAATTAATAGAGCATGTAAAGAATTATTAATAGAGCTTGTAAAGAATTCAAGTGACATTAAAAATACCCCCCTGTACTGTTTCTAGAGATGGTAGCACCATTAGTTTCATTGTCAGGATATCTGAAATACGTAGATTAAGGATGAGTATAAAAGAGGTGAATATGGTAGAACACTAATTCAGGCCCTAGTTCTGTAAAGAACTGATGTTGTTTAAAAGGAATATAGCCCTTAGAACTTGTCTTTTAAGTGCCCTACTACAGATAAAACCCCTTTGCATATAGTACTCAGGATGTGCAGGGGTTGTTCTCAGAGCCCTAGCATTAGAGAGGCTTCTACCTGAGTAAAAATAGGAAGATTAAGTACCAAATTTGTCCAAGCCCAGCTGTAGCTTGTAGATAGCGGTATTCCTTTTTTTCCACCCTCCGTCGTTTGTCTAGAGTTTTATTATCTGACAGGTGATATGGTTATGCCATGTGAAGTCATGTAGGAATGGTAATGACTTTGTAAACTACTGATCTAGTAAGAATTGGGTATTTCTGACTGCTTTTTTCAGGATTTTAGAGTACTGAATTTGTAGAGATTTCACGTGCATGGAATTGAAATCCATTAGAGTAAAAAGGGCTAGGGGTGAGGAAATATTTTGAAGTATGTAATATGGAATTGAGTTGCAAGAATGAAAACATAATTACTGAGCTTGTAAGAGTTCATGACTTTGAGTTACAAGTGTGAGGGAATGCGTTGCTTTGCATGTTTGACTATTACATGGGCTTAGCTGAAGCATGGTAAGTTGTTAAGCCACAACATCTGTGTTGTTTCAGCTCTATATTTGCTTTTTGGTTTTTGCACTTCTAGCATTAACGAGATAATCCTTAAAATTGTAATGCACAAATGAATGGACAAAAACAGTAGCAAAAATCTGAAAGCCTCAGGACACTGATTTATTTTAAAATGAAATAACCCTCTGGTTTCCCTCTACTCTCCAGAGGTTTGCTTTTTTTGTGTGTGTGGGTGTTGTGTTTTTTTTGGTTTTTTTTTTTTTTAACTGAAGTTAACATTAGATTCCATTTTAGGGGCACTAGGGAGGACATATTTACTATGTGTTCAGAGTGGTTTTGTCTCAGACTCACAATAGGTCTTAGTTCTGTTTGCTTAAGTTTTGGACACACTTTTCTGGTGAAATTTTTTTTAAGGTAAGAAAAAAATGCAATAAGGAGATTAAAATTTCTGAAGTGTGTTTGCATTTTTCCTTGTCCTTTCTCTGCTGTCAGCTACTTGGATTCTTTCTCAGATTTCCAGCCTTCTGAGGCTTGACAGTTATCAATTTGTGTGAGGCTTCATACCTGTCTTCTCATGGTCTTTGCTTGACTTCAGGTGCCATTTAACAAAGACAGGGTAAATTTTGATAGATGACCTGAAATCTTTCCTGGTGCATCTAAAGAAAAGACTGTTATGCCTGTAAGAACAGTAGTGAGTTAGGTGAAATATGCCAGGCAGTTTAAGGCAGGTTTATTGGCCTACTTTGGATGTATTACCAAATGAGAATCTTCCTCAAAATTTCAAATTGTTACTTTGTAGAGAAAGCTTTCTGGCACAAAACTAGATGCAGTAAAGTAATTTATTTGCTTACAGGATTACTGTGGGGAAGATATAGTGGAAGAGGAAGAACACAAGATAGCTTCAGAAAAGTAATATATACAGAAAACATAATTTAAAAAATAGATTTATTTCTTCACGGCCCATTAGCTTCTGTGTTGGTGTTTTCACATCCTAGAATACCTACTGCCAACACATTGGCTTGGAGTTCATGTTCATCAATGATGTGGAACAGTGCCAGTGGATCCGGCAGAAATTTGAGACGCCGGGAGTTATGAAGTTTACTAATGAGGAAAAAAGGACTTTGTTGGCAAGGCTGGTGCGCTCAATGAGGTATGCTGGGATGGGACTGGGAAAATGCTCTGTGGCTGCTGGGGGTTAGCTGGTGTGGGCTGTAAAGTGCAGAGGTGGAAGTGAGGAGTCCGAGTGAGATCTGGAGCACAGTTGAGTCTAGTTAACCAGGCTGCGATATCAAAGTCTGTGTAGTGACTTTTAGTATTCTGTTTTCTTAAAAGGCAGGTTGTGTTCTGTAACGCTTGTGCTGCCTTTAGTGGCGTATCTGGAAATGTTTTCATTGATTTGTTGAGATACGCTGGGAAAAAATTGTTTCAATGGACTAGTAATGTGCATCTGTGTTGAAGAGTCATAACCTGTTTCAGAAGATAGATGCCAGAGCAATGCTGACTACTGATGTGCTATATTCTGTCTACTGTGCATCTTTCTAGTAGCACATGATCAAAGGAAGCCATCCTAACAGCTCAAGGAGAATTTTTAGATTGGTGAAATATTGATGTGAGTGTTGTTTGACTCACTGGGATGCTAACAGTCTCTTTGGAAAACTGTGCCAAGATGGGACTGGACTTGAGAGGCATAGTGTGATTTCAAGTCCTGGTTTTGCCCTTTTCCTTTTGAGGTATGCCAAGATGTGCTGCACTGTTGCATGACCTGGCAGCAGGAGCTTTGGTCTCTGCAGTGTATGAAAGCATGTTTGGAAACAGCTTATTGATTGCTCCTGTTGTGGCTGTCTGTATGGAAATACTGTGATCCCAGACACTGAATTGCCCTCTCACCTCTAGAACAAGACTGTCTTCTCAGGCACAAGATTTATTACAGTTCTTACAATCTGAAACAGTTTGCATATCCTTTGGTAAACACAAGAATTAGAGATCTATAAAGACATATTTTGTGATTAAGCCTCTGTGTTCAAAGACTTAAGAGGAAGTGCTCATTGGTGGCATTGGAAGATATTTTTTCCAGGTTTTGTGTGCTATCGTTACAGCAAGATTGCTTGACTGGCTAAAAGTTTCATTTAAACAGAAGTACAGAGGTCACTTAATGGACAAATGAATATTCCACCTGTGTAAGTTTGTTTAACAAGCCCTCAGTAGATCCATCTCTGTTTTACGTATCTTGAGACAAGAATTTGTGCTTTTGTTCCTGCCTGTCTAAGCTGTGGAAAGATCTGGGATTTGCAGTAGCATGAAGGAGCCAAATGTTCATCGTTTGCCAGGTTAATTGTCTGCTGAAAATTGAAGAAAAAAAGTTTTACATAAATTTCTATTCAGCTCTCTCTAGCATGCTTTTTTTTGGTCTGAAAATGCTAAACAAAAAATCTGGTTTTGTGGAAAACTGGTGTTGCTATTGAGACTTGTGGCTTTGTAAAGCACATAGTCGTCGTTTTGCTCAAGAATACCCTTTTCAAAAATGTTCATTCCAAGTACTACATGCTTCAGGTACTCGAAACTGAATTTTAAAGTAGAATTTCCCATCCTTTGTGGTGTTCACCGATAGGTTAATGAACAAAGAGTCATTTTGAACTCTTCCTCCTGTAAAATACTCATTGTATATCTTTGAGCTGCTTTGTGTATGCATTAGTAAACTGGTGTTAGGCCCTGATTTTGCAGTCTGATCTGGGCATTTTCTTAAGCCGATGAAGGGTCAGGCATTTCTAGATCATCCCTTCTGAGAGTGACCATCTTTTGTAAGCCTTGCTCCTCCTTGGGTACTGAACATGTGCAGTGACAGCGGATGAGCCGCCAGCCCTTGTGAAGCCACAGTGACGTACAGGGGACTTGCAAGTTGTGGCTGTGCAATACTGTAGTTCTGCACACTTAGTGTCTGTTTGTCCCAAATAATGAACTTTCTGCTGGTCCAGTACTGGCTTAACTTGCAGCCCCAAAGACGAGGAAAACAGCATGTACAACCAGCACTTTGATTTGCCCTGTAGGCCTTGCTGTTCACACGGGACCCTGCTTTCAGTTTATATAAACTGGCGTAGCCCTGCAGACTTCCCAGAGGAATTCTGGCAGCAGAGCTCAGCTGAGCATCTGACTTGTTGCTTAGATGCCTGAATTGTAAGGGTATTGATGGGTGAGCTAAGGAGGGTCTTCTGGCAACTCTTCGTTTCACTGCTTTTAGGACTTCAGTCTAAAGAGGTAAATGTCAGCATTCTAAGTGAGGAATAAGCTGAGTATTAATGGATTATGGCAGTGTTACGAGTCGCAGCGTTGCATAGATGATATAACCAATACAGTTGTATTCTATCTCCAAGCTTTACACATATAATCCTTTCAGCGTTCGTTAAAAGGTAGTTTTTAACTGCTGTCATTGCCTCTGGCCCAAATGCATTAAAGAATGAAAGAACATAGCGCTGTCAAGGGTTGACATCTTTATCCTGATGCAGCTGAGCCGGAGGCACTGGTGCCCTAGTTCTTGGCACGTTACCAACCGTTCTGTCTCAGTCTGAGGAGCCCTGCCATTGAATAGCACCTATGAAATAGGCGTGCTTTCAACTATTTCTACAGGTTTTAATCATTACTTCCAGAAAAAATAAGTTCTCTGTTAGTATTCTTCAATCCATAGAAGAGACTTCTTTGCTGTTACTCCTGTGGTCAGTATACATTTTGTATACATGGGAGTTTAACTTGGGAAGTGAATTTTGGTTGAGGAGGAGATTCTTCTTCCTGTCTGGATTGTTTCAAAGTCCTGGTAAATAATCCTTTTTTCTCCTCCATCTGAGAAGTAACTGTCTCCTATGTCCCCCTTCCTACATGTGACTTACATGTTTTAGGCCTCTGGAAGTATTCAGAGATGTTTTAAAACAGTGTGTTGTAATTTTATTTGCTAAAAGATATTTGACGTTAAGTATTTTTTTCATTATCTTAATACAAACATTCTCTTCTGATTCTTGGTTTCTTTTTGGCAAAGATTTGAAGACTTCCTTGCTCGCAAGTGGTCTTCCGAGAAGAGATTTGGTTTGGAAGGATGTGAAGTAATGATTCCTGCACTAAAGACCATCATTGATAAATCCAGTGAAATGGGAATCGAATATGTTATAATGGGGATGCCTCATAGGTAATGTCAATGGGAACACACCCCCAACAAATGGGCTTATTGGCTTTAGACAAGTTTCAGGTGCTAGAATTTTATTGACAAAGTTGATACGGGAGAAGCTAGGGTAGCAGGAGTCAGTCATAGCGAGTAATGGGAGCACAGAGCTGTAACAAATACCTGTCAGTGAGAGGCTACAGGCTTCACGGGTGAATGCTAGTGAAACTCTTCAGTGTACCTTTGGAGCTGCAAGCAAACATGGCAGTAGCCACGGTATCTATCCCATTGCATAGTCTAGAACTGAGAAAGTTTGGTGAGATAGTATCAAACTTACTTTTGCAGTCTGCCTTAGTGAATTAATTGTTAATGTCATCATGTTGAAACTGATAGATAGCTACAGAATTCATTGCTCATACTGGGATAACTAGGAGATATAAAATGTCTTTGGGAATGCATTGGAGGAATCTTGCAATGGGAGAAGGATAGAATGAAGGGTTTCAGGTTCAGAAGTTTTAAGTGAACTACTTACTTGCTGATTTTTATAAGTTTTATGCTGTTAACTCTGTTATTACCATTTTTGAGACATAACTATGTTTGGAATTTTCATAGAGGTAGGCTGAATGTATTGGCTAACGTAATCCGAAAAGAGCTGGAGCAGATCTTCTGTCAGTTTGATCCCAAACTTGAAGCAGCTGATGAGGTAAGATGCCTCTTTAATAGATCTATATGGAGAGGTCAGTATTCAAGGTAGTTTGTAGTCATTTTGGTCATGGTTATTATGAAAATAGCATCATCAGCTGTTGAAATGCATTGCCGCCTTTTCTGCTTTGAGGAATATGATCTGGTGAGATTTCTTAACCAATTTAAGGACTGTACCTCGAATGGGCAGAAGGTGTTTTTGGAGTAACTGTAGATGAGTAAGTTCTAGGTCATTGGACTGAGTTTGTAATCTCTAAGCATCTGTTTTTGTTTCATATAAATGAGATTAGTGTCAGTATTCAGTAGATATTTATCCAGTAGACATTAAGACAATAAAAGAGGAATGGTGTTCCGATTTGAAATCGCGGTGTCAAACCCCTAGTGCGTTCTGCTGTACAATTAGCTAGATGCATTTTTCAGACTGAAGCGCAAATTTTAGGCGTAGTGTATGGAGCTGGTATGAATGACATTCCTGAACTGTGACTACGTCTTGCACCTTAGGGATCTGGGGATGTAAAATATCATCTGGGAATGTATCATGAGAGGATCAACCGAGCAACAAACAAGAAAATCACTCTGTCCCTGATGGCTAACCCTTCGCACTTGGAGGCGGTTGATCCTGTTGTGCAAGGGAAGACAAAAGCTGAACAGTTTTATCGAGGGGATACGGCAGGGAAAAAGGTAAAGATTTGTTTAAATACAGTAACTCCTAGTGGTAGTTTTTAGTATTATTTTTACTTATAAAGAGCTTACCAGTAGTTTTGTATCAGAGAGTGTTGCTCTTTTCCTCCTTCACAAAAGGATATATCACCTGTTGAACTAGATAAGGGTTTTGACATGGTGTCTCAAGGGTAACTTCAGGAAGTAGGCTTGAAACGTTTGTGTGTGAACCGAGTGAAGGCTGCAGAATGCTGCCAAGTCTATGGCTTATTATAAAAATACAGTTCTGTTTTATAAGCACTACAGAAATACAGAGCAAAGAAATCCTGCTGAGAAGCTTTAAATTGCAGGTTTGCTTTCTAATGCCTGTGTGTATAATCCTCCCTCTTAGGTTATGTCCATATTGTTGCATGGGGATGCTGCCTTTGCAGGACAAGGAGTGGTTTACGAGACGTTTCATCTTAGTGACCTCCCGTCCTACACCACGAATGGCACTATTCACGTTGTGGTCAACAACCAGGTAATGTGTAGAGCATTTTCCATTCAGTTTGTCTGCTGAAGAGTTGCTGGTGTATTTCTTTTTATTCTTGTTTGGTATTAATTGGGTGCATTGTTCCTTCTGTTTCTCAGAATGATTAGGATGTTCCTGAAAATGATGATAGTATCTAGCAACTCTGAGTGGATAATATTTTATCGCCTACATTTCTTTCATTCAATTTATAACACTGAATTGGATCAGGTTTGCTTTGTTTTGTTTTTAAAGGAGCAAAAAGAAACTAGCTAGCCAAAAGGAAAAGCTGATGCTACTGCTGTGTCAGTATTAAATGAAAACTTCAAGCAGTCAAAACAAAGTAGAAGGAGATGCCCCTTTTTAATGAAATTTTCTGGAATTCTTAGATTGGCTTCACCACAGACCCTCGTATGGCCCGTTCATCGCCGTACCCTACTGATGTCGCTCGTGTGGTCAATGCTCCCATTTTTCATGTGAATGCTGATGACCCTGAAGCAGTGATGTATGTGTGCAGTGTAGCTGCAGAATGGCGAAACACATTCAATAAGGATGTGGTGGTCGACTTGGTAAGTCTTGGTTTTCTTAACTACTCATTCTCTGTGTTTATTCTGTATTACTTCATTATTTTTCTGTGACTTAGAAGACCCAGTCAAGAAACATATTTTGATTTTAATGGCTTTAGTTTCTTCATTTAAAAAAAAAAAAAAAAATCAAAACCCAAAACCAAACCAAATGACTAGCAGCACCACAAGAATCCGTAAGTGTTTTTATACCATAAACCTCCTAAAATCTCTGTAAAACCATGAAATTGAAAGATTTCATTTTACTTTTTTCCTTACCAACAGGGACAATCTTTCTCTTTGTAGGTTTGTTATCGTAGGAGAGGGCACAATGAGATGGATGAACCAATGTTCACCCAGCCTCTGATGTACAAGCAGATTCATAAGCAGGTGCCAGTGCTGAAGAAGTATGCTGACAAACTGATTGCAGATGGGACCGTAACACTGCAGGAGTTTGAGGTACACGTCAGCAGAGTTAAAGGGAACTCAAGAGCTGACAGTAGGAAGACACAACTGCCACTGTATGCTGTTTGCTTAAAAACCTTCCTTTCATTACTGTGATAAGTCTTCAGCCCTTGCCACTTTCTGATTCAATTCGGTTTGGATTTTCATGTGAAATAGTGTTGTTATAACAAAAGGACTGAAGGTGCTGTGAAGTAACTAATACATATTGCACTGAAAATATTGCTTCAATTCTGAGATTTATAAAAGGTGATTAGATGTGAATGTTGGTGATGGAGGCATTTGTCAGCTGTTGTTCATCTCTGGAATCTTGATTCAGCAGTAAGACAGTATTTTAATTTTCAGAGGTATAACACTAGTTTCATATTGATAACCTTGCCAGGCTTGTATCCAGCAATAATGCAATAAAATCAATTTAACCTTTTTATTTTCTTGCAATAATTTAACTAATTCAGAGATCATTTGAAATAATCCAGAAGGATGTAGTGTAGAGCCTGGTGCCTGGATTAAGCTGGTGATGTCTTTAGCTTCATCTTTTGTAAAGTGAATGTGTAGAGTGCAGACAAGGCAGTTTGATCTCAGATGAAATGGGCTTGTTTGCATAATTGTAACTACATTTTCTTCTGGAGTTAAATAACTTTTTATCATACTGAATGTTAGGTGTCATCTGTAAGATACAAAGGTGCAATATGTATCTGTTTTAAAAAGAAGGTTTTGTTCTACAGGAAGAAATTGCAAAGTATGATAGAATATGTGAAGAAGCATATACTAGATCTAAGGATAACAAGATCCTACATATCAAGCACTGGCTTGATTCACCTTGGCCTGGTAAGAAGTGTCCTTTCACTTATCCTAGTGTTCATATGATTGAGTCCATTTTCCAGGACGCTTAAATGGCTTTTATCAGACAGTGTTCCTTTAAAATAAAATACGTGACCTCTGGTTTGCCCCTGTTAGTAGAAAATAAAGCATTATACCAGATGAACTTGAACAAGGTGCTTTTCTTAAGACATACAAATTAAGGTGTGACTTTGAAAAAGACGCCCTTTTCAGTTTAGCAGTGTTTTCCCTGTAAAGTTAATTCTGCCTTCAGGAGGACGAGTATGTCTTCTGCTCCTATTTTTTGGTGTTTGTTTTGTTTTGGGTTATTTCCCCTCTGAGGATTGAGGTGCTATATGCCTTATTGGCTGCCTCTGCCCACATACTTGAACTTCCTAGGGAGTGAAAGCAGCAACAAACCAGATCATTGTGTGCCTGTAACATCAAGTTCTGTTGTCCTGCACAATCAAAATCTTTGTGCCTCCCAGTGAAAGGTGAAGAACTAGGTTTAGGCTGCTGCTTACAATGTCTTTTAAGAGTTTTGAGTTTTTAAATAAATTCTAGATAGTGTAGATATCTCTTAATCAGTTCTTGAACATCTCACCGAATCTTTTACTTCCAGGATTCTTTAATGTGGATGGAGAACCCAAGAGCATGTCTTGCCCTCCAACTGGCATTTCAGAAGACCTGCTGACTCACATTGGCAATGTAGCTAGTTCGGTGCCAGTCAAAGACTTCAGAATACATGCAGGTCAGCGGGAGTCTTTCTTTCTCCTAGTGGCTACGTTTCTTGCTCAGATTTCATATTTCTGCACACGAGCTGCAGTTGGGCCATTTCCCAAAGAGAAAAATGTCTGTGACTTTTATTTTAACTCTTCCACCCTATGGGCAAGGAGAATGTGACAGTTAAGGTCCTGCTGCTTGTTCTCAGCATAATGTTCTTGCAGTATGACACCACTTCTGTTCCCTACCTCATTAAAATAGATTTTCCTCTGGAGGAGGTAAGAGTTTGTAATGTGAAGTTAATACCTCCTTTCATTCTTCAAGTCCTTGCTGCCTCTGTGCAGCACATTTCTGGGACTGACTGGGAAGTAAGGCACCTGTCTCAGGAAACACTATTCATGTGTTTTGGGGTTTTTTTAATGCTAAAACCAGTGGTAATGTGAGGTCCATTTAAGACACTTTTCATGTAGTTAGATAACTTTCTGCTCAGGAATACAGCTTTTCAGACGTGGCCATGTTGCTGATATACTGTCAGCCTGATTTTAGTCCAGCTGAGCGGACTCTGGGCAAATTCAGGCGCAGTTTTTCTTTCAACTTAGCGTTTTGCATTGGTGATAGCACAGATCTAGTGTTTTCTCAAAAAGTCTTAGCTTTTGGTCTGAAGAGATTCAACTCTGAATTCGGCATCTATCTAAGAAGTTAAATGTGCCCATCTCACTGGGCAGCACCTGGCACTGTGTCGAAGTTCTGACTCTGTTCTTTTACTCTCTGGTCAGTTTGAAGTCTTAACAGCCCTACAGGGAGCAAGGTTGTGTTCATTCTATGGGGAAACATGGCGACACTTTGTTCAGGGACCCTTTTTCTTTTGTTGGCTGGTAGGGAATGTACTTAGGATCAGAAGAGTGAGCTTTTTTTCTGGGTAAAATCTCTAGCTAATCTTTCTTCTCCAGAGTCATCCATCAAGGAATAAAGTGTCTGCTGTACATTTCTGTGTTTGTGTTCCTCTGGGACAGTTAAACACAGTTACAAGTAATGATGATAGGGTATTCCCAGTTACCAATTGAAAACTTATTGAGCAGATAACAATTAATAGAGGAACTTAAAAACTCTTCTGCACATTGGTGTATTTTGTTGTGACATTGATAAATTTGAAATCATAGTCAGCCAATAAAATTTAATATTAGTAACTCTTGATTAACTGTTGACACTAAGTAACACTTGCCAATGTATGGGATAGATTCATGTTTCAAATCAAACTTTGGTCTGCAGGGTTCTTTTACATAGTTTAAAAGGCCATGAAATTAAAAATTTGTGGAGAATTAAAAGGGGAAGCGCACCTTTGAAGTGCTTTGTCTTTATACTAGAATGAAATAGCTTAATATCTGTCAGTCTTTCAACAAACAATTGGAAGATTATTTTGTTTTATCAAATGTTTAGCATATGCTAAAGAGAAATTTTTCTTTTTTTTTTACTTAAACTGCAATAATTTCAATGAGAGAATAGTTTTATGTGGGAAGAAAGCAGGGATATTTTGGTAAAAATGGGGAAGTAACAAAGGGAAGTATCAGAAAATTACGAACAGGGTGGAAAACATCAGTGCAGATGTGAAAATAAGGTGGTGTCAACTGACACTGAATACACTAGGCTTATAGCCTCAAAGCTGGAAGCACCCATGTGCCACTGAAGTTTGTCCGTTTAAAAGTCACTGTGTTGCAACTTATGTTTCGGCTTGCCAAGTTATAAAATCTTCACTGTAAAAAAACAAAACAAAACAAAAAACCCCAAACACCACCACCAAAAAAACCTCCAGATTTTGGTTACAACTGAAAATCTATTGACAGCTCCTACAATTTCCTATTTATATGATATTCATAGTATGGATTAATCAGGCCTTTCTCTCTTTGTAACATCTCCAGAACTCCAATAAGACAAATGTTAAGAAAAAATGAGAGGAAAAAGAGAAAAAATCACAAACCAGATAGCTGATATTTCCAGTGTCTTTTAAGACAGTACTTTGTGTTAGAGATGTGAGAGTGAATCTTTACGAAGTATTTCACCATGAGTCTTTTAATTGTCCCCAGTAGTTTCTGATACAGCCAATCTTATTTTCTTCTAAAACAAGGTGTGTTATGCAACTCTTTGCCTGGGAAACAAGTTATTTTACTTTGCTAGCAGTTCAACTCTAGAACAACAATTTGTAGACCCTATTTGGATCTGTGTTTAACTTAGCCAGTGGGGAAGGAGAATGGTGAATGTAATGTAAATATAAAATATCTCTGACGTAGGTCTGTTGGCTTCTGATCTTTACTCCAATGTAGGACTCTCTCGGATTTTGAGAGCTCGCTTGGAAATGACCAAGAACAGGGTTGTTGACTGGGCCTTAGCAGAATATATGGCTTTTGGTTCTTTCCTGAAAGAAGGGATCCATGTTCGACTAAGTGGACAGGATGTGGAGAGGGGTACTTTTAGGTGAGTACTGAGATAACTTTTAAGTGCTGTCCCATACTTAAAGAAACACCTTGTTGTGATTTAAACAATGTGGTCTTCTGCAGGGAAGAGGAATTTGGGGGTCTAAAGCGTGATTCTGGCAGTCAAGAATAATCAAATCTCCTGTGTCTCTGTAAACAGCATTTTCAAGAATTGTATTTAAGGCAGAACAAATATTCTTAAATACTTTCTTCCTTCTCTTGCTGAAAAGCAGATACTTTTTTTTCTGCTTTTTACCTAAAAATTCAGCTGCAATCCATCTGATTGTTGAGAGTAAAAGAAGAGCACTTGCTGCTGCAAATTCTGAAGTCTTTTAAATACCATTCCAGTGGTGGCTGCTCAGAAGCCGCATATCCTGTGAACAAACACGTTGCCAGTTGGCAAGGCTTTTTGAAGTGAAACAAGATCCTTTGTACTGAGGCTTTTAATGACTATGGAGCATGAATGAATGCAGAATTTGATAATTTAGTAAAAATATATACAGTTCTGCTGCCTTACCTGAATCTCTGTGGAGTGAAATGTTAATGATGTATTTAATTGAAGCCTGTGATGCGAAGCCCATTGCCGGGGGTGAATGAACTAGCAGCTGCACTGTGCTTCATTGTGAATGTTGCAGTAAAGAGAGATAAATCTTGGTGCCTGTCTCCTCCGGTACAGTGGTCTGTTTCTGTGCTGAGCTTCATGTGGTATCCAGTCTTTTGGGCTTTCTTCATTTTGCTCCCATTCTAACGTTGGTTTAACAAAATCCTTTGGAAAAGACCTGAAAACGAAAATGGGGAGATTCCCACCACACCCCATCCCCCACTCCTGATTTCTCACCTTCCTTCATGCTAGTACTATGGTCTGGTAGTGGGGTGAGCATCTCCTGGGAGAGGAACACACATGTTCATTGTTTAGCAACCTACCCATCTATTTCAGCTGGGTGCTTAGTCATGTCTAGCACATGCCTATAGACTTGTCTTGAGAACATTGATTCTCTGTATTCCCATTTCTCTCACTGGTGGAAGAGGATTTTCCATAACTGTTGTCCAGATTTTCTTGATGTTTAAGATAAAAGTAATTGTTGTGCTCACAGCAATATAGGGCAAAAAAAGAAAAGACCTGTTCAAATAAAAAGCTATTCAGACTGGCAAAGACTAGCTAAGGATTTCTGTGCCATATGGATTTTATTATTCAGCCTTTTCTAAAAGGAGTAAAAAGGCATTCAGATAAATCATTGTGAGGTTCAGGACTGAAGCTGGTACTGCAGATGTTTGATTTATAGTAACCTGGTTGTGCTTAACTGCTGGGTTTTGAGTTTGCCTGATGGGTCGTGGGATCTATAAAATAGTAGCCCATGGTGTGATTATGATTCTTTTTCTTTGTTATGTATGTGATAGGGCAGTTGAACAATAAAGGGTGAGATTTACAAAATGTCTTGGACCTGAGGAAGTCAGACAACATTCAACTGCTCTGTTAAACAGAAAAGAACACTGTAGAAATGTGTATACTGTATTCAGGCATACTGTATTCAGGTTCATTTCATCAGAGAAATAGGTAGGAAAGTTAGTACAAGCACACTTAAGAGATACTGCAGTTCCCTGTAAAGCTGCTCATTTTTAGCTGTCGTTTGATTTCTTTGTAATTTATAATAGAGGTGAGCAGCTTCTCTAGCAACTGAAGGCATTTGCAAACACTTGTTGGTTTTTTGGAAAAAACACATTGCAAACACATAAAGTATGTAATTGAATCCTCTCTCTGTACTGAGGAGACCCTTCTTCACCCGCAAAAAACCTTTGAAGTACATAGTGTCTCAAATTTCTGGGACTAATTGAAGAGGGATTGTCAGCTAGAGTTTGGGAATGGTTAAGATACTGCATTGCCATAATGTAAAGAACATGATGAGAGTGCTTTGATTTTTTTGGGCTTCTGAAGTGCTGCCTAGAAAACAGTACTTTCTGTCGGTATGCAGTGTGACAACTTCCTTTCTTCCTGTTTCAGTACTCAACATTATCAATATACAGAAGCTAGATAAAGCTGCAGGTAGAAGGGCTGGGCCCCTTCTCATCTTGGAGACACATTCCAGAGGTTGTCAGTAAACCTGACAATTGTGCACCAGCAGAATCTGTCTGTGTATTTCTGGCTGTCCATCTATGCTCATTGTAATCACCTTTTGCTGGGGAAACACAAAACTTCATGCTCAAGCAGCATATCACCCAGCTAGGCCCTCTGTCTTCAGTGGAATGACAAAAATAAAATGACATTGGCAAAAATTATTTCTGCCGAACAGCTGTGTGGTGTGTGTGTTCTCCCCTCCCTCCTTGTGCTGTTCTTCAGAGCTTCTGTCTTTTCCTGGCCTTATATTGTTGATTTCTGAATACATTTCAGAGCTCTTTTGCTAGCATCGTTATAGCAAAGGGAAGCACAGAAAGATTCAGTCTTCAGTTCGGTGTTGGCAGCTATATGACACCACACAGTAGTTGTTACCAGTATAATAACTGTCCTTATGTTAGCAGTCGTAAAGCTGGACATATTGGTGTGATTCACTCAGTTAGTCTGCTCAGAGAGTTAATGGATTACAGTAATTACTTCAGTCATCTCTGTTGTGGTAGTGTTCCTTGGTGCCCCATTCTAATGCTGATTAATGGTGTTCTAGAGAGCTGTAAATGGTGCATGCCAGTGGAAGTAGCAGGAAAGAGGATACAACTGCTTCAAGTCTTGGTGTTGAGGTTAGATGAGACTGAATTTTTGCATAAAAGATGACAGTTGTTTTAAGAAAAAGATTAATAGAATTTGCCAGGGAGGTAGAGTGAAATGTTTTTAATAACAATTTTTTTCTCTTTTACTTTAAACAGTCTATTTTATAGCAACAACCTCCCCACCCCTTCCCCTCTCCCCTCAGGTTCTAATAGTGATGAGGTATGTTCAGTTTCCATGAGTGCTTGAGAACAAGCCTGGGCAGTGAAGGAAAGTCTATATAGTGCAGTGATTGCATTTAATGATGTGATGGAATTGCTAGGTTTCAACCAAACTAGGGTGTTGTGTAAAGCAAAGGTAACTGTGGTGCTTGCATGCTTTGTAGAACATGGCTTTGTTGGTTTATGTTTGAAAATAGCTCTGCTAAAGCCCGGAGTTGAAGTTATTCTCGCTAATACATTTCTTTCAACACCTGTTTGCAGCCATCGTCATCATGTGCTTCATGATCAAGAAGTTGACAAGAGAACGTGTGTTCCTATGAATCACCTCTGGGAGCAGCAGGCCCCCTATACTGTGTGCAACAGCTCCCTTTCCGAATATGGTGTCTTAGGTATGTCTCGGAGTAACTGTCTGACAGGTCTGCTTATGTTTTAATAGGTCTCAAGCAAGATGTAGGAACTGATGACTGCTAATTAAGAGAAATTTTTTTTCCCAATGTTGCTTTGATGTGGCTAAGCCTCCTGACTACAAAGTTTTACTTTTGGAGTTTGTTAAGCCTCAACACAAACAAACAAAAAAAGAGGCAGTTGAACAAACTCTGCCTTTGTTATATTCTGACATTCATAGCAGTTTTGTATCAGGTGGGAGCCAGGAATGGCAGAACAGGGGTTTAAAATCTAATCAAAAGCCCTAAACTGACTTCCCTCCCACCTCACCCACTGAAAAAAGTGGCAACCAAGAGATGCAATAAATTTACCATGTTCATTTTAAGCTTTGTCTCTTGCTGCCTTCTTATCTTGAAGGGTTTTAAGAAAACCTCATTGTAGTATGAACTTTAAGCCAAACTCTTGGGTTTTTCCTACAATGTATTATGGTGGGTTTCATTTTTCATGTCTATTTTAGTTTTAATATTTTAGCATAAATTAAAGATCAGTGTGAAGGACTTCAACTAGGTGTTTGTTTGTGGTTTTGTTTCCTTAATTTTTGAATGTGTAGCCTGTGGTATCAGGCACATGAATTTGCAGGTTTCAGTGTGCTTGCAGTGCCAAACTTTCTGCACTCTTCAAACGGTATACCTATTTGTTTAGGCTGCTTAGAACATGCTTGCACTTCAAAACCATAAACCTGGAGGCATAAGCATCTTTTGATAGAGAAGTGACACAATATGTTAGTGTTGGTCGCACTAGGATTCAACAGGAAATGACATAGTAATGGCAGAAGATGAATTTCAGAGGATAACTTAGCTGTATGAGAAGCAGACCTCAGCAAGAAAGAGAATGTGGAAAAAAGCTGTAAAACAGTGACATATGAAACCGGTATCAAAGTGCTCTCCCTCTGAGGTTCCAGCATGCCTTAAACAAGCAACTCCACATCTTACAATTATGGGATTCACTTGAAAGTATCCACCTCTGACAGTCCATCTTGGCAATGCTGGAACATGCACCTGATGCTTTGTCATAAGGGGAGGAACTGTCAACAAAATCAGGGACAGTTTGTAATACAGATGTAAACATCCATCCTATCCTCATCTGAACTGCTGTTCTGAATTGTGCTATCTCAAGAAAACAAATTCTTGTTAGTGATAGTATTAATCATAGTGAATTTCACTTTTGGTACTGGACAGACCTTTTACCTTCAGCTGCAGAGAATGGATAACCTCGCTGTGACATGATGAGGGTGGCAAGAGGAATGTGGAGCACAAAACAAGTACATCTAATAATTTATCAAAAATGTTATTGATTATATGGATAAATAATGAAATACTGTTTCAGAGCTAGTGTGAAGGAAAAAGATGAAATATTATAGTAGATAAAAGTGATAATTGATAGCTGTTTGCTTCAAGGTTCCAGAAATATTTGATCACGTAGTAATTTTTATGTATGTTGTGGTTTAACTGAGCACCACGCAGCTGCTCACTCACTCCCCCCTGGTGGGATGGAGGAGCGAATAGGAAGAGCAGAAGTGAGAAAACTCATGGATTGCAATAAAGACAATGTAATAGGTAAAGCAAAGGCTGGGCACACAGGCAAAGCAAACCAAGGAATTCATTCACCACTTCCCATGAGCAGGCAGGTGTTTGGCCATTGCCAGGAAAGCAGGGCTCCATCATGTGTAACGATTACTTAGGAAGGCAAACAGCATCACTCCGAATGTTCTCCCCTTCCTCAGCAGCAGAGACGTGAAAGTTGATTTAATAACTTCCATTGAAAACAAGCACTAGGGCAAAATACAAGTTTGTTCATACACTGAAAACAGGAATAGGATTTCTGTGCAATTCTGCTTCAGCAGAAGGGATGACAGGTTCTTCAAAACTAACAATATTGATATTTTTAATTGTTCAGAACTTTAAATCTCTCATGTCTGAGATGTTTTCTAACAGTAAAGGAGATTAATATAAATAGTTGATGAGTGATAATTTATTTTTTTAACTAAAGATGCCATGTTTCTGTGTTGAAGTGATTTTATAATTAAGTTTCCTCTCCATTGCTAGCTTTTAATCGACCTTCTGCAGCATGTTTACTCTTGTGTTTTGTATCCTTAGAGAATGAGTGCTGGGATAAGCAGCAGAGGAGCTGTTAGAATTGCTACCTGTTTGGCTGGTAACATCACTGGGTCTCCCTTTTAGTACGGGGAAGAATAAGTGAACATTTGCAGTTCAAGGAGTTGATTCTTCAGGAGTAGCAAAACCCCCCAACACTATGTTTTCTCTAACTGTTATTTATACTATATAAGCCTGGTACAAGGAATAATTTGGGATTAATGCCTTGAAGTATTTTGGGGGCATGGGAGGGTTGTGAAAGTTTATAAGAAAAAAAAAAAAAAAGGTGTTAAGAATTTAATTTATGACTGTATTAATGTGCAGCACAACAGAAGCATTTTGGGAATACCCTTACTTTTTGTGAATTAGAGCTAAGGAAAAATGGATTGAACAGCCCGGTGTGACAGAACTACAGGTTATTTCCTTGGCAGGTACATAAGCCAAGAGCTGGCATTTGTTCAGAGCTCTGAGCTTTGCACCGAGTGATTGTTGAGCTGGTCAGGAACACCTGGGGTGTAACTACTCCATTAAAATGATACTCTGACAAGATTGATTTCACTTAGAAATAAACCAAAAGCAATCTTGTTAACTTGCAGTTCAAACAATTGCTTATGTTTTGTATACAGGAAGCTGTGGAGTGTGTGTACTGAGGCATTAAATCACAGTATTTAACAACTGATAATTCAGTTTGACATCCTATGTCTACTACTTTTAGCTAAATCTAGATTATTACAATTTAGTTGCACATCTACTCATCTAGCTATAAATTTTCCCTTTTAATGACACTGAATGTCTGGGAGTATAAGTGATGGCTGTGTGAAGTCATTTAAACAAAGTTTATCTGCTGATTGAGATGCAGGAGAAAAGCAGAAGTAACTTACAGGCACTCCATGCTACCTCTTCAGCACTTTTAAAATACTTAAAAGGCTCTCCTGTCTGTCTTTCCGGCTCTCAATGACTTGTGCAGTGTTGATTCTCACTCCAGGAGGTACCATTCTCTCTGCCTGGTTCAGTACTAGCTTTGAGAGGTCTTGGTCTGTAGCATCCCATACTGGGAACTTCCAGGGAACATCCAGGCAGGATAAGATTTGGAACTAGTGCGTAGTTCAGCAGATTCCTGGACCATGAGACCTGGAGTACGGTTTTTTCAAGGGGCAAGTTCATGTTTAAAGAAAAAGATGAAGAGAATAGGGCAGGTATTATCGTAACCTTTTTTTTTTCTGCAATACACTCTTAAGATGAAATATGTAGTGTTACCACTCATTCAGAACATCATATTTTTAAGGCTAGGAGTAGAAAATACAATTACCTGTCAGAAATTGAGTTAGGAAATAGGACAGACTGTAGTAACCAGGGACCAGGCTCTCAATGGCATCTGCATGGAGCTCTTAGAAAGCATCAGTCTTTCTGTTTAATAGAGTCTACAACCAGATGGGGGTTCTCTTTCCTTTCTCCGGGGCTGTGTTTGGGTTTGTGAAAGCATGCGTACCCCTCTGTTAGTGCCCATGCTTAGATTTTCTGTTAAACATAGCACAAATCTGTATTTGTAACTTTCCTCATTCTGACATTAAATCCCTGCACGGATGAGACCTCTGTAACCATTAGTTAACATTCACGCCTTCAAGTCACTTTGAAATCGTGTTGAATTAAGCTATAGCCATAATTCTGTTAATTGGAAAACTACAGTTCCTACGACAATCATGAGAAGTGCTCTGGGGGAAAGCCACAGCATAATCTGCTATGTAAGCTGCCACTTTGCTTGACAACACCTCTTTCTCTGCCAGAGTGACGAAAGAACAGTAAGGGAGCACAGCAGGAACTGGGCTAATAGAAACAAGCTTTTCTGCTATGCCTGTCATCTAGGGACCTTAATGAACTTCAGCAATTAGAACATTAGTTTTGCAACCTTAGTCAAGTGCTGTGTATTTTTCTTTCCTCTCTCCCCTCAGTTTGGAAGTTTACCAAACTGCGGTGTTGGGTCCTGGTCCCCTGTGCCCTGGTGTGCTCTGAGCCTGGTGTCTGGGAGCTGGCGGGTGGCTCTCCACCACCCTGTGGGGTTCTTTTACCTGTCGTTCTTTGAAAGCTGTGTCTTGCACAGCCTGGTTGTTGTGGCACTGGATTTCCTCACGGCTTAAACCAGTTCTCTGTGTTTCTAGCTGTGTAAGAGTTAATCCTTTTCACTCACAAGCTTGCCCAGCATTCTGAAGAAATGTTGGTTCTTGTCTCTGCAGACACAAATAAAAAATTGCAAGGTCTCTGCTGCAGTTTTTTTAATGCTTTACTCTGGTGTGAAGTTGAGCCCTCATGAGGGGCCTGGGTAGGAGCCTGCTCCCCTGCAGTTCAAGTCCCATCTCTAGAACTGTGGAGTCTTTCTAGCTCGGGTCACCTTCCCTGACCTTGACTCATCGGGTGCCCCAGCGAATCTGTTTCAGGTAAAGCACCTCACCCTCTCCTGGGTTGTTCACCTTTCATCTGTCCAGATGTCTTTCCACCAGTTTCTTTTTAATTTAATTTAGCAGTCCAGATCTTGCTCTTGAAGTGTTTTTTCTCTACCTGCAGGTAGGAGTTTTAATTCTTGACACATTCCCTAGCAATTGCTGTAATTGCTGGTGGAGTAGCTTTAACATTAGGAACTCTCCTTGTCACTTGCCTGGTGGAAAAGGAGTTCCAGTATACCAGAGATGGGTATGCCACAGACACGTGTTCCATGAAATAGTCATCTTCACAGAATTAATTTCAAAATATTAGTGAGAAGGTATAGATTGCATTTGGCTATGCTTTCCCAGATATTTTTATGGCTGTCCGAAAGCTTGCGAAAGGTAGGATCGCACCTTTCAACACAGCTTCCCCTGGGACATTGTCACCTTATGGAGATCATTGGCAACAAGATCAGAAATGAGAACTGACACACTTTTTTTTTCTCCATGTGAATTTTACAGGTCATTTTGGTGAATGGAGCAGAATTACATGTGTGTGCTCTAAGTTTTAAATGTGCATATTGCTCCGTACTGTTTGAAAAGCACTGTGTGATTACTGGTGAGTCAGTTCATTCTTCTCTAACAGCCAGGTTACCCCATCCTTACAGAGAACAGCATATGCACAAATAAGTCTTGAACATATTGCGTATTTTCTCAACCGTGTCACCCAATCAGTAGAAATGGTCTCTTAACGCTTGTGTAAAATTAGAATGGGATTCAAGCCTATCTAGGGAAATCTATTTTTCAGGTACCTTTGGGAACACTCACTGAAGGACTTGTGTAAATTTTGCCACTCTTTGCATTGTGTTAAAAACAACAGAATCACACAAATAAGGAGACAGAGATTTTAGTATGTTCTGAAAGAGAGGCCGTTGAGGCAGTCAGGTCAAAGGAACAATCAGCAAAAGCCATCCTCCTTGGTAATGCACTGTCAGGGTGACTCACAGGTGAAAGGCCGTCTCTCTGACTTACCAGTCACCTTTTGGCCTCTAACTTACTACTTGCCTCTTGGTGTGAACATGAGCATCTGTTGGAGTCGTGGACCGACTGTTCAGGGTTCTGCAGTCCAGAAGCCAAGTGAGTCAAAGGTTTTTTGCCATGGAGATGGTAAACAAAAAGCTGTGTTGGAATTACCAAGGAGTGGGCTATTAAGACACTATAAAAACAATATGTAAAACTTTTCTCTGTGAATAAACAATTTCACTTGAAGCTCTTGTTGCTTTCTCCCATGCTGTTAACTTGTCCTGCAGTTGTCCCCCTATGAACCTTCCAGGAAAGTTTGCATACAGAGTATACATTGGCTGAAGAACCTGTTCCTGGAGCCAAAGAAAGAAAGTGTGGTTCCAGTTTAGCTGCAGTCATAGAGTTAAGCTAAAGCAAGTTCAGCTTCGTGCATAGATGAGCTAGGTCAAAACATCATGTCAAGTGTTGGAAGGATGTTCTTGTAGGTCATGTTACAGAGAGACATGCTTGATACATGACTAATCCCACTGGATTTGTTGGGGTTTTCCGTGTGGATGTGGACATGTTGGTTTAAACCTTCTGTAACCGGGTGTTCATTACTTCTCAGTTTTATAAGGTGGGAATTCTAGTCCTTCACTCTTTCTTTCTTTTTTTTCCTTCTTTTTTTTCCTTCCAGTTTGACAGTAAAACTTTCAGGGAAGGAACTACTGGTGTATATTTGTGGCATCCAGCCCACATAGACCTCAACCTTAGCTCAGAGCTCTGAGTATCTCTTTGATAGTGAACATAAAGTAAAAGATGAAAAAGAAAACAAAAAAGGAAAAAGAAGGTTTGAATAGGTTTGACTTGATCCTGAAATCTTCCTTTATAACTAAGTCAATTACCTTGCACTGATAACATTAAAGTAGCTCATATGCTGTATGTGCCACATGATTTTCTCTTCTATCTCATAATATATTAATTTTTTTTAATGCCTGGAATGCCAGACCATGGTAAAGGTATTTTAGATATTTTTCTATTAATGCTTGTAAGAGCTTTTTGGTATTATGTAGTTCTCCTTGAAGTAATTCTCTTATCCACTGAATTCCCTGAAGAGAGGCCCTCCTAGAGGGACTGCAGCCCCCAGTCACCAGGGTGCAAATCACGAATGATAACTATGAGAGATGTCCGCCATCACTTGCTGGTGACCCTGGGCAGTAGATGTCTGTGTGTGGAGAATGTCAGGGTGCTAAGCATGTCTATTCCAGGATGTTTTTTTGAAGTTCCTGAAACTTTTCTAATAGAAGAGTTGTAGGATGTGTTCGATCAGAACCTATAGTTCCAATGGTGATTGATTTTACCGTGGGTTCACAACGGTTTACTGTAGTTCTCTAAATACTGGTGATTACAAAGCAGTGCTGGGTTTTACCCATATACAATATTTAGGAGGTATATTATGTTCTTGATTTATTATTGTATTTGGGCTCATAGCCGCCCTTGGGTCTAGGAAATATTATTCACAACATGAGATTTTACAAAATGGTATTTTTGTCCTGCACTTTTGAGAATGTCTGCAAGTTAAAAAAGGAGGAGAAACCCAAATTATGGTGTCATATCTAGATAGGCATGCCGTCCCCTCAGATATGAAGGGATTTCTCTCTGCATCCCAAATGCCGGTCTTAGGCACATTTCTTTCTTAATTAAGTGCACAGTACTCTTGTGACTGTTTGGGGATGGGGGAGGCTGGGGGCCAGTGAGACAAATTAAGCGGTACAGATATTTTGTTACCAGAAACTGTTCACTTTTGTCTAAGCTGGTTTTGCTGTCAAGGCTATATTGTAGAAGAGCACTTGAGTGGCTACTGTGTCACTGTAAGGAAACCAAGGAAAAAGGGAAATTACAGTGACTTGTGTGTAGCAAAAATGTGAAGCCGGGTTCAGTGTAGACCAGTGGTAGTGGGGTGGGACTCCCTCTGCAACCTAGGTACGTGGGCATATCTTAAAATAAACTGTGAAGGGATAAGAAATCCATTTCAGTCTGTTAGCTCACTCTGAGGTTTTTTAAAGTCTTGCAATTACTCAGGAAAGAGTTAAAATTCATTGTTGTAGCTTTTAAAATAAGATTTTACAACAGCAAAGCTAGTTGCTCTGCAGGGGTAACCTTCAATGAGAGTCTTCCCATGTTGCATTTCTGTATTTGAAAACAGATCTTTATATTCTGTGCAGAACTTTAAAACCCCAACTTAAAACATGTTTATCCATCAAATATTTGTTCTCTATGTGTATTGAATCAGTTTTCCCTTAGCCAGAACCTCTACATCCAGAGCAGTGCTACCTAGCACTGTTTTTTACTGAAAGCTTTAACTTTGTTGGTATTAATCATTCTAAACTATAGGTGCAGAGTATGAGTACAGGTATTAGCACTCCAGGCTCAGCTATAACAAAGTGTCAAAGGAAAAGATGACCAGAGATCAAATACAGATTTTTACATTATTAGATACCTTTAGGTGTTCATTATGGAACGTGGTATAGAAAAATACCTTGAATTTAAGCATGGTCATTAAACTGAGACAGGTGCATTGCACGCAGCTAGGTTTTCATGTGCTGATGTGACACAGAATTCTGCATTGTTTTTGGAGCTACACAGCAGAGGCCGTGTAACACATGCAGAGACCATTGTAGTTTCTGGCTTTGGCCTGTGCAGAGGTATCGGGAATCAATTGCCTAGCTTACACTGTAGTAGCAGTTTGATCTGGTTTTCTTTTCTCTCTCTGCCAATCCTCTTTCCAGGCTCTGTTGTGGAGCTGGGGCTTTATCATACTGCAGCAGGTCTCTCAGTGAGAGCAATAATTTTCTTCTGCCTTTTAAGAGATACCCATGGAGCCTGCTGAGAGCCTTCAGTTACGTTTGGGCCCTGACAAGTTTTAAGGGCAGACAACTAGCTGCCTGGCTCGCTCTGTGCAGAGCGCCTGAGCTGCTGTCAGCCAGACTGCTGCTGTACATTTGTCCTGCTTCGTTAGCCCGACATGGCTGAGTGCCTGGGAATGTGTGGCCCTTTTCCTCTGGATGGAGTCGATGAATTTACATTACAGAGGGCACAAGGAACCCAAAACAGTGTTGTGCAGAGCTGCACAAGTAATAAAATTAACGAGTAGGTTCTTGAACTAGTACTGGGCTATAACTGGATTTTTGCAGGAAAAGACGGTCCCTACCTCAGTGAGCTCTCAGGAAATGTCACACAAAAGTCTGAGCTAAGGGAGGAGTTGTAGTTAATTTAAAAACTATGAAAGATGTTTAAATGTTTGAAAAACCATTTTTTGGTAATCTTTCTCATGGAAATGATACTACTGAAAACTGCATGATTTATAACAGGGCTGCAAAAATCCAGTTTGTGCTCTCAGTTTAATTTTTTTTTTTTTAAATGAGAAATGAACAGAATTCTTAGTAAGCCTCTTTCTTTTTTAATTCTCTTGCTTGTTTGGTTCTCAGGTTTTGAACTTGGCTTTGCTATGGCCAGTCCCAATGCCCTGGTGTGCTGGGAGGCCCAGTTTGGCGACTTCCACAACACTGCACAGTGTATAATAGACCAGTTCATCAGCTCTGGCCAGGCCAAGTGGGTTCGTCACAACGGGATCGTCCTGCTCTTGCCACACGGAATGGAAGGAATGGTGAGGGCCACTGCTGGCGTGTGCGGGAGGGAAGTGGTGGCTTCTGCGGCTGTAAAAAACAGGAGGTGTCTCGGGCATCCAGTGGTGATGTGAAGCTGGGGGGGTGGAAGGCACTGTTTAGCATATTGGACTGCTCGAGTGCTATAGAAAAGAACGCGGATAGATGGATTGGTGAGAACCTAAGAAAACGGAAGTACTTCTGACCTCTTGGCTTTGTGTCCTTCTTAGTGGCATGCACCATGTTTTTCCCATTTTTCTTTTTTCATATCTTAAGATACTGCCTTCCTTCCCTAGAAAGCCAGATCCATAGTGTACAGTAAGAAAGAAATCATTAGTGTCTAGCAGTACTTATTTGGTTTTATTTTGCAAGAACTATTTATGTGTAACTGTGCACTAAATTCACTTGCAATGAAATTATATGAAACAACTTTAAAACTTCTTAAAAAATTATTTACATTGGGTAACTTGGAAATAATAAGAAATTTCTCTCTTTCTGAAAAAGAAAATGTCTCTACTCGCTGTTGCCTTCTCAGTGGCTAATAGGAGAAACTAGACAGTGTCTTGAAGGGAAAGGGCAAGCTCTGTATATAATAAGAAGTTCACATCAGCAGTAGAATTATTCTTAGAGTCTTTTAAATTCTTTGGGACGGTTAGATGAACATCATGATTAATCATGGTTAATTTTTTCCTTTTCAAATGCATTAACATTCATGAATTGATGCAGGTATGTTTTCTATTAAGAAAAGCATAGTATGTGCCACAGTGGCAACCCCCATCTGTAGGAATGCTTCAGACCCTCTCGCCACAAACTGCATCATTTCCATTCTCACAAACGATTTACTTTATTTCCATTCAATTATAATCCTGTCCTGGTATACTGGGGTGCATTCATATCTTATAAATGGCTTTCCATAGCCATTTGTGCGTAAAGAATAAGAGGTCTGATGCTGTTCACAAGAGTGTTGATAAATTGAGGTGTTTTTTAAATGAATCCTGAGGGACAGGCTGAATGTGCCCTCAGCAGGAGGTCTGCTCCTCTGCAGGGAAGCACTCCGCTGAAGGGAGCTGCTTCTCTGCTACTTACAATACAGTTAATTTTTCTTTTCTTGTAGCCGCCTGGCAGCTAAGACTTGCCCAGATCTTCTGAAACATGCTTATTTTGCTACTAGTGTCAGGTGTTTTCTGAATATTTAAGAATCCCACCACACTGTTGAAATCCATTATCTTCCCAGAGGAGCCTTCCATTACAGGAGTGTTATTCTCTCTAGAACTGCAGTGTTGGGAACCGAATGATTTGGGCAAGGATTCGTAATGGGATATGGATCCCTTCACCTCTAGGTCATGCATTCTCAGGCAAGTTGGCTGTGATTGAAAGACTCTGCTGCCTAATGGTTCCTTGGGGACTCATCCGAAAGTAGCTAATGGATTCGGTATAGGCCTCGCTGGATGGGTGGTCCCAGCAGAAATAAACCCTGCCGCAGCCCACGCAGCGGTTGCTGGCAACCTGACTGGTGGAGTCAGCAGAGAAATCAAAGATGGATGTGAACGTTGAGGTGGTTGCTGGGGCAGCGTGTGGGTGTATGTTAGGGAAGCCTCGCTGTCTCTTCTCTAACTGTTGGCTAGTAAAGTCTCTGTTTCCAGTGTGCTGATTTTAGCGTGTTTGTGAAGCACCGTGCTTGTACATCTATGGGTTGTGCTTAGTGTAGGATTGAATGTACAGCAAACAGATGTGTACAGCAGAGGTATCCCACTGTTAATGGTGCACCACGGTTTTGTGTGGCTTTGCTGCTCGTTCTCAAGCCTTTACTTATTCACTTACGACCAGAATATTTGGCTAATATAGCGGAGACAGATTTCAAAAGAGTAATTATGCAAGACACAGTTCCTGGCTGTTTGTGTTACTCCATTGTCACCAGTGGAGTGTCTTTTCCTTTGAATTCCCTTAGTCTATACAGCAAAGTGAATCCTGCACTTGGAAGCAGGGAGGATGATGTGTTGAATCCAGGCAGACTACTAGCTGTCAAAATAATGAGTGATTCTGGAGATCATACGTTAAGGTTTCAGCGGAGGAAGTGATGGTGAGAGACGGCCATATAAAGAAAAAAGCACTTTATGAGCATCGTTACCTTAGGAGCCGTGGGGAGATTTGAGAGGTGTAACAGTTTATGTCTTCAGGTTAAAATACCTTGCAACTGTCTCCACAATGAAAGTCCTTCCATACAGTAACTGTTGCGTGAACAAGCAAAGGCTGTCAGCAATAAGCCAAAGCACACCGCATTCTCGTACTCGTCACAGCTTTCTCTCATCCTTTATAAACCAGGACATGAGAGGGAAGATGATAGATTCTGCCACACTCCTTATTCCTGATATTGTCTGTGACCAGCATGCATGTTTTGCTGGTGTAAAATAGATCTAACAGTGTTTGTGCATGTCAAGAAACTACCTTGGGTACCGCTAGTGAGACAGCAGAGTGTTCAGTACTTTGACAGAATGTAAAATACCTCCCGAGGAGGCAGAAATTAATCACAGGTCAGTTTGGCAGACAAGGTGTATGTGTATTTTGATACTTTTTAGCTGAAGCATTCATCTAGGCTGTTCTGTCCTGTACTGAACAGTGAACAACAGCAGGAGAGAGGTCCTGCGTCTGCGTGTCGTGTTGGTGGTACAGCAGGGAGAGTCTGCAGTTAACTTTGTTTGCCCCTGCTCAGCGTGCAAGCGTGGTTTGGCCCAAAGACGTGTGAGTCACTGCAGCACACGGAGGCATGCGGTCTTTCTCCTCCTGCCCTTCCTCCGGCTCCTTTTTGCCCTGTATTAGCAAGGTCGTTCTTGTGCCCACACAGACCTACTGCCCTTTCACTGGTCTTCATTGTGCAGCTATACTGAGGCTAGAAAATACTTGCAGATGGTAAAAGTGTTAGAAATTCATCTAAAACCTTCTCCTATGAAGACAGTTTATAGAAGACACAGAGTTCCAGCCCTGTGGTGTGTCCTGTCCTCTCTCGCTGCTGCTGCTGCCATGGATGCCTTTGGCTGGGTGCGGGGACAGGTGTGCTGCCTGGTGCAGAGCTGCCAGGGTGACAGGGGGTACTTACACAGTGAGTGACCTAGACTGATGTCTGAGTGCTGGTTTGGCTCTTCAGTGTTGTTTTAAATGTCATCTTTCCCAGGGTCCAGAGCATTCATCAGCCAGGCCTGAGAGGTTTCTGCAGATGAGCAATGACGATTCTGATGCTTATCCAGTAAGTACATTTGTCAAAGGCCGTGTCCTTTTTCTGCTCATCATGTCTCAGAGATATTTTTTGTAAGAAATATCCTTTTAGCTAGGTGTAGTGGGTTAAGATTCAGCTTCAAGAATTGGTGTAACATTAACTTGATCCCAGTAAAAGTAATGGAACTATGCAGTATGTGCTGCTTCATTTCAAAGCTGAGGTCATATACCATTAATCTCTGGCAGCATGATCTTTTTATGGTTGTTCCTCGGGGCCAGTGATTCTGCTTGTTTATATGGCTGTGCATACTGCAAATAGGTGTCTCCAGCTAATTTCTGAAGGAGGCCACGTGAGACTACTCCTGGCTTTCTGCAGTGGGGCTAAATTGTACTGCTGGGACCATGAAAATAAGCAACTTCTAAATTTAATTCAGCTGAGACCTTTATACTTTGGTCATTCATTTCTGCAGATAAAGTACGTAGCTCTACAGGATACTTGACATGAGCTTCCCCACTGCAGATTTCCTGAGAAACACTGCCGTGCATTAACTTAAAAGCCTACCAATTACAAAAGAAGGCAAAATAAAATTAATGTTTCAGTTTTGGCCCTGATTTTGTTACCCCTGGGGCAATGATAGTTCCAAAGCCATGTCCCTCCTCATCTAAAAGTGATTTTGTCAGTGTGCTGTCAGAATAAAGACCTGTTTGACTGCATTTAAGCACTGTCAGTTGCATGTAATAAACAAGTTATAAATGTTATTGTAGAAGGTAGGAGCTCAAACCATGGACCAGGAAATCGTGTTAGATGCTGTACCAATCTGTAATGAGATTATTGTACCTATACCTATATATGCTTTCCTAATATATATGTACATAGACATAGATTTAAAAAAAATCCTATATTCATAAAATACATAAATATAAAACATATGAAATGCATGTATTAAAACAGTATAAGAGGACAGGACACCTACCAGAAACGGGTGAGAGTTAACTATACACTCAAAATATGAATTACAGTTTTAAGATTCTTTCAAAGGGGTTCTATTTTGTGTCTTCCACCTACTGAAGTCCTAGTCCTCCTCACCCTTCCTTCCTGCACTTCCCAGTTTGCTAAAATTAATGGAAGCTTTTTGCCTTAATTTGCATACATTTTTAGGAAGAAGTAGAAAGAGAAAAGAATGATTTGTAGGGATGCTTCCCTAGCTAATAATATAATCTCAGCAGAGATCAGCTAATTAAGTTTTTTGAGGAAGGGAGTTGCTGAGAGTCAGAAATAGAAGGATGGCTTTCAGGCCTTTTTTTCTGGTCTTTTAGACATGTTTCTAATGCCTTTAATGTCTCTCTCAGGAGTTCAGTGAGCAGTTTGAAGTTTCCCAGCTGTATGAATGCAACTGGATTGTGGTGAATTGTTCAACGCCAGCCAATTACTTTCACGTCCTCAGAAGACAGATCTTGCTGCCGTTCAGAAAACCGGTAAAGTCACTGTAATCGACTTGATCATTCTGGGTATATTAACCCTCCCATAAAGAGGGGTCTTTGCCTATGACATGCTGCTGAAAAGAAAAGGGTTGTTGGTGAAAATCCTTAATTGAACATAGGTTGAATCGCTGATCTGGTGGAATGAAACTCAGCTCTGAGTTACTACGTTTCTGAAACTTGATTTCAGCTTCACTTCCTTCTGGCTGTGCAGACAGTCAGACGCGCTTGTCAAGACACGATGTAGCTAACAGGTAGCACGACCGTAATCTGCACATCTAATTGCTGGAATTTTAAAAAACTAAGGTACAGCTGTTGGGTGTTTTACTGGTTTGCAGCCTCTGATTGGATTTTTATTCTCAAAGAGAAGCATAAGCAATGGTTTTGAGAACCTTTGAAGGGACTGGACTACCCAAATCTTTTGAATATTTTTGAAACTTCCTAGGCTTTCAAAACAGGAAAAAATAATCTACTGTTTGCGCTGTTCACATTAATTTGATCTCTAGCATGTTAAGTTTGTGGGGTTTTGTATGAACAGTCGTAGTGTTGCATCTGATAAGGTACATAGAGCAGCTCCTGAGTGTTGAAAAAATTTCTGTCTTACAGCTGATTATTTTGACACCCAAGTCGCTGCTGAGGCATCCAGAAGCTAAATCCAGTTTTGATGAAATGGTGTCTGGTAGGTCACCCTGATGTATTATTGTCCCTGTTAGGTCCCTCTGCTCTTTTCATATAAAAATTGAATTGTTCTATGTACTACACACACACACACACACACCCCTGATGTGAGGGATAGGTTGTAATCACACTGGAAGAATGAGGGGGCCATTTCTTACAATACTCAGTTCTGGGGCCATCGTGTCACACCAGTGATCTGAAGTGAGGCCAGTGACTTCAGAGCTGTAGGCTACCACCCTGCCTCTGTTGGCATGCCGTCAGCACCAAGAGATACGCAGTGACTGCAGGGGTGGTACCTAAGCCTGGAGTGATTGTTCTTGCCCTGCGCTGGTCAGAAGATGTGAGAGTGGCATGAGGAAGTGCAGTCAGTGAGTGATTGAAGGGCAGTTCAGAGCCAGTGTGTGCATGGTTGTGGTGGGCTGGCTCCAGTTCCAGTGGGTGTCTTGGCTGCTGTCAGGAAAGAGTAACTGCTCAGGTTTCTAAATGCAAGTTACAGCGTCTAAACATGCCTAGATATTGCAGTCTCTATTTGCGTGGGTGAGTAAAGTTTGCTTCTCAAGCAAAGACATTTGCTGGTTTTGATTACTGTTTAAAAGCTTTGTAGAATGAGTCAGTAGGGACTGTGATTTGTCACTTTGTCTTGGGAGTCCCCTCTACTTCAGGCTAACCCTTGATAGTGGCCAAACTCCTGATTAACATTGAATTCTGACATACTTTCATGTTCCTGTTGAAGAAGACAGCAAGTAGTAGAGTAGTGCTGACTCTCAGCTAACTCTTTTTGCTCTGATTTTTAATGGAAAGCTGGGGAGGAGAGGAACACTGACTCCAGCTGACCCAATGAAGTGCAGATTCAGTCTTTTTTAATGATGAATTCTGCTGTTCAGTGAGACAGGATAATTCTGACATAAATCAGTTCCTCTTTCGTATGTTTGTGCTGCTGCTTTTCTCCCCCCAAGATAAATGATTCAAACAGGAGCTTATTCTCCTGGTAAGTGGGTGTGCTGATTCAGACTGGGAGGTCATGCCACTGTCTGCCACTTTGCAGTTGGTTAATGTGGGAATAGTTCTAATCAATCATATAAGAGAGCAAAGAAAAGGGTATTTTAGACTGTCAAGTCCCTCTTCCAGTTTCATATATCCCAAGCAAATTGTTCTCCTGGGAGATGATATCACCAGGGAAAAGTTATCTAGCAGCGAGTGAGGATATGCGTCTGAAATTGTATCTTATCACATATACGCATGGCTCAGTACTATGCTAATCCTTCCTTTGAGAGCTAATGCTGTTTTAGCTCTCAAAAAGGTTTAAATCACCTAAATATATGGTAGAAATGTGTGTGTCTGTAAATATTTCTCCAGTCGCCAGATTTAGTTGCATTATGTGCTATGCTTTTATATAAAAATGTTCTAAAATTTTCTAAAGCTATATTAATGTTACATGGTTGAGATCATCTGGGAAGGAAGAAACTATATTGCAGGTAATCCTCTGAGAACAACTGTAAGCAGAGGTCAGGTATCCGATCAACTTAAAATAAAAGGTGTAATGTATAACGCAAAGCTAAAAAAGAATCCACTGTTAATATGGTTCTGTCTACTAAATGTGAAAGAGTAGATTATTGACAGTCTTTTAGCTTCTTGTAACTAAATGCTGCAAGTCACTTGAGCAGAATTACCGGTCTGAAAAGTAGGAAGAGAGGGGCAGCAGAGCCCCATGGCCACTGCAACCTGCGGCGTGCTCCGTAAAGGACTGTTTCTTGGGCTGCTATTGCAGTGTCAGTTCCATGGGGAGCACTTTCCTAATCTGTGCTCTAACTAGGTACCACTTTCCAACGCGTGATTCCTGAGAACGGGCTGGCAGCTCATGCACCACATGAGGTCAAGCGAGTGATTTTCTGCACGGGAAAAGTGTACTATGATCTTGTGAAAGAGAGAAAGAATCAAGACCTGGAGAAACAAGTAGCTATAACCAGACTTGAACAGGTGAGATCCCTGATCCCCGAGATCCCTGATCCAAACAGGATCCTGGGGGAGACTTTCAGCAAGGGGTTCCTGTGCTTTTAAATAGATACCGCTTGCCAGAAAGGATGGGGTTAGTGTTTTAGATCTTACAAGACATCATCTAGTCCTCCGTGGCCTTGTGGAGAAGGAACACATCAGTAATAATACTGGATAATGAGATCCAGAAAGCTTGACTTACCCAGAACAGTGTAACAAAATGAAGGTTACAATATGATGGCATCTTGAATTTGTATATCCAGTCTGCTAGGTTTAAATGTTGTGAATAGTACAGTTGGCAGCTGTGTTGTCATTCACTAATTGAGCTTTGTTGTCACAGCTACTTCCCTAGAAAAACTGTAGGAATGCAGGAGACCTACTTCTGTTCCTACTTCTGCAACTCTAAGATGTGTGCATTCATTTCTGACAGCATGAGGTCAATTAAAGAAATATGATTCACTTTAAAGAACATATAGCAATTATCTTAGGTACTAAATGGTTAATTAAAATGGTTGATTGTAATACCCAATAGGTAAAAGGCTTTCCTACCCTGGGCTAACACCATGTAAGGGCAAGCTTTGGCAGTGAGCACCCTCTCTTTCCAGATCTCACCATTCCCCTTTGACCTGCTGAAACAAGAACTTGAGAAGTATCCAGGTGCTGATCTAGTTTGGTGTCAGGAGGAACACAAGAACAGTGGATATTACGATTATGTCAAACCTCGTTTCCGCACTATTGTGAACCACACTCGACCTATATGGTATGAGACTTGAAACAGTTGCTCTGTCTCCTGAGTTCATTTGTTTGCTTTTAAATTTGCTTGTGGTTTTTTTTTCTTTGGGTTTGGTTTTGGGTTTTTTTGCTTTTAAATTTGTTTGGGGTTTGAGGGTGTTATTCATGGAACAGTCAGGTTCTTCACACATCAAAACCTCTGAGTTTGGGTTCTTGGTTGAAGGAGGGAAAAGTCTAGACAACTATTTCTCAAATACGTCATGCGTATCTTGCTCCTCCTTGTAGTTCTAAAAGAAACCCAGTAGCCGCTAGCTATATATGTATTGTCTCTTAGCAAGCACTTAGCTCTCCTGGGTTTTTCTCTCTTGTTCTCTAAGATTCTGACTTCTTAAATAATTTCACTCCAAATACTGGGTTTCTGGAGGAAACAGTTGTTGTAAGAGCTCAGTCCAGGTACCTTTGCATTTAGTTTGGATGAGTGACTCTCGGATCTGCTCATGCAGCTGTCTGAGGAGAGTCTTCATCGCCAAAGGCAAGTTGTCTAATTACGAGGCAGTGTAGCTGGCTGTCCTGGGGGGGGTGGGGGAGAAGACACAGCTTAATATTGACGGGAGGGAGAATGGAGGGGGAAGCTGACCAGAAGGGAAAACTGATGGTGCAACCCAGATTGATTTTTATTTAAGAAAGATTAATGATTAAATGTCCAAATCTGCCAAGCTGACTTGAATGCATGTTCTCGTGCTTGTTAGTGTCAAAACAGTCTCTCTTCTCACCTCAATTGTCTGCCCAATTCTTTTTGTCACAAAGGTATGTTGGCCGAGAGCCTGCTGCTGCAGCTGCCACAGGCAACAAGAACACGCATCTGGTGTCACTCAGAAGGTTCTTGGATACAGCTTTCAACCTGGAGGCCTTTGAGGGAAAGACATTCTAACTGCAGGGCTCCGACCCATTTCCCTGACGAGTCGTCTCTCAAATCACTGCATCCGAAAGAGGAAATAAAAGTGGGAAAAATACTGGAAATTCTGTCTTTTTGCTTTACCAGATAAAACTATCCAGCCACTGACTTCATTAGTCTGCACCTTGCTTCCTGGTTTGTAAGGAGGAAAAAAAATAGTTCCAACTTACCTTCCACCATTTTTTGTCACTTGTCTATTTAGATTGGGACCACTTTGGCACTGGAAGAGTCTCCCAACAAGGATGCTGTGCCTAGCTCAGCGAGGCTCCAGTCTCAGCCCGTGGGCACTGTCTGATTACTCTAAGTAGAGCAGGTGTGGACTGCATGATAGTTGTGCACACCCCGGAAGAAGAGGGTACCTTTGGGAGCCACTAAGGAAACAAGATGTGTTGTTACATGGAAAATGGTTGACAGTTATTTCTGGTTATATTGGAGAGGAATAGTGAAACTGAAAAGCAAAGAGTTGATAGCTGACTTTGGTAGAGAAATGTACTGGCTGTGGTTGTTGGAAGGAGATGGTAAGGCAGCCTGGTGATGTGAGGAGGAGGCTGGATACAGGGAGTCGGATGACAAAGTTGCTGAACTATGGGCAATAACAAAAGTAGTGTGGTATAAGGTGGAGGAGGGTGATGAAGGCAGAAATAAAAGGGACCAAGAAAAGCTTTGTTGGTAGTAGTTGAGGAGGGAAGAAGCCTACACAAGACCACAGCTGGCAGAGCAGTGGGTGGTCAGCAGAAGAATTCAGCATCAAATGACTCCAGATGTGAGAGGTGACAGCAGCGATTGCTCCCACTCCCTGGGCTGCCTGCTTTGATGGTCGCTGGTATTAGGCAACGGTGGGCTCCTGTGAGCATCCTCATTATGGATGACCAATCTTTCCCTCACCAAAATACTAGGATCTGCTTTTCTTTGACCTGGTAGCACCTGTAAAAGGATTGCATTTGGATGAGAATCTGTGTTTGTGCAACAAGTAGTGGGTTCTCTGCTTTGTCCAGTGCTAATCCCTGCCTCGCATCTCCATGCTGATATTAATTCAACTCTGAAGTGGCAATTCCTGATTTAGTCACCCTTTTTTATCTTAAGAGGAAGATGGGCAAGCAACAGTTGCTGATTGACCAAAGGCACACGCTGTGGTTTTGTACAAGTAGTAATTGATTGGTTTTGTCCCTTGTGTTTCAGTACGGGCATAGGAGTGAGCTGGCCTTGTGTAAGGCGGCTGATGCAGAGCAGGTGCTGGAGGGCAGGGAGCTGCAGGGCTTGTTTCTCTTCCCAGGAAACAGTATTTGGCTTCCTGGCAGGCACTGCACAGCAGGGTGGTCTCAGTGCTTCTGCTTGTGCTCCCACCGTGGGCTAGAAGGCAGATGGGCACAGCTTTCCTCTCCCCTCTTACTTTAAGAACTATAAGTGCTGTTCCCTCTGCCCCAGGAGAGCTTGGGTCTTGGGTGAACCTTGTGCCTGCAGGCTTCAGCAATCCTAGACTATGTCATGGCAGGAGATTCTTCCCTTCTTCCTGCCAGTTGGCAGAAGGAACTGCTCAGCCAATAGAGCAGGGGGTGGAGGCATGGCCATGCCTGTGTGGAAGCAGGAAGCGGTAAGTAGCTGTGCCCCTGCCGTGCCTGGAGGGTTTTGCTGGATGTGCTGAGCAGCCTCTTTGACACATCATAACAAGTCACTGGAAAACACACCGGTGAGACTTCACCCCAACTCCAGTTCCCTATCCTGAGCGTGCTCCTGGGTCATAGGTGTGTGCCTGACAGTAAGTTTTACCCTGCTGCTGTGGTATTGGCTGTGACATGATAAGGCCTGACAGTTTATGCCCATTTCAGAGAGTCAGGTGATGCTGGAAAGCTGCTTGTCTCGTCAAAATAAAAAGGTGTATTAAAAACTTTTAGCTTTGGTCAGGTACTACTTGTCCAAGCAGGTCACCAAAAAGGGATGGTGCCTTATGCTGTCCTTTTATTTGCCCTAGTGACAACATGATGGTGAAAAAAATAATCCTTCTGTCAGAGCATAACATTGATGTGGTGAGGTAGTTAACCATGGGATCCAGAACCCATCTGAGTCTCATGCTGGTGAAACTCCATAGCATCCTTTTAAATCAGGCTGGTTGCCTTGGGCTTTTCCTCTCATTGAAACAGTGAAGCTAATTCAGTCTTTGAAACCTAATGAACTTGGAAAGCACTACAGTTGACAGCAGCGAAGAATGTCTCCTGTCCTTTTCTATAGCTCAAAACATTAAGCTGATAGGCAGTAACCATCACCCAAAGTATTTTTAATGCTTTTATGAATGCTTGTTTCTGTGGCAAGAATTGAATGCAGCTAAATATTGCTGGCACCATTTATAGTGTTCTCAGCTTGCATAAGGCAGGTCAGTGCTGCATGAAATAAGATAAATGCAGTTATGCCACAGTGTATGCAGAGGTAGAAAACAAAATTAACATAGAAATGTTAAGTGGTAAATGACAGGTTTCCGTTTTCATTGTGTATCATAGATTGTGGCATAATAGTTGCATAAAAATTCCATCAAAGAATGTAAAAAAAACCCAATAAAATAAAAGTGTGTAAGAATGAAATTCTCTGTTATGGCTGTTCTTTCTGACAGTTTCTCCTTGGAGTGCTGGCATTAGCATCCCATTCGTAAAAGTGCTAGGGCAGCTCATTTTTCTGTTTGTTTGTTCAGTGGTGGCTTATTTAAATACAGTAGCAGTGAGAGAGACAGCGTTTGGACTAGGAAAAGATCGTTATTCAAAACCATGGGGTTAAATGTAGCAATAGCATTGAGGTTGTATTAGAATATTTTGGTTTAGTCTAGTCTATTTTTTTAAAAGTAACAAGTGAACACATTTCTGTTTCAAGGAGCGTTTTTAAAATACTGGAACTAGACTGGAATTAACTTCTCTAATTTCCAAACACTGGAATTCATTTCTCTAAACACAGGTTCCTGTTGAATTACTTTTCCTGTTGCCCGCACTTTCAGGTAGTAGACGTTCAAAAGCTACTAAAGCATTACAAATGGCTGAATGCGTGGAGTACACGTGCTTGAAGAGTTCTGCTGCATTTCTTCAAGGAGGCCCCTTGGATAAAGAACTCTGGCAGAGAGCCCTTCACGCGATGCGCATCGAGTTGCCAACAATGAACGCAACTTCTGTAACGGCAGCTTTAAACCAGGTTAGGAACATCTCCCCATCCCACAGCAAAGAACCAGCTGACAAGTTAAATGCTTTTTACGTACTAAATAGCAGTCAATTAATCTTTTGGAGTGTTTGAAAGGGGCTGAAGTATTACATAAGCCTCCTCTGCGAGTAGTCTGCATGGAAATTCAAACTGCAGCTTTGTAACTCCGGAGGAAGAAACAGCGAATGTGGGAATCGGTTGCCTTCATTGTACTTGTGGGAGCTGCCCCACATCACAATGGCTTGCTAGGACAGACGGCTGCTGTCACAGAATTGTTGTTGTCTCCTAGTAGCTGCCCGATGAACTGCGCGAACAGCGGGGGTGCGCATGGTGGGAACCTTTGCTCGGCCCGCGGTACGCTTGGCGGCAGTCGGCTAGAGCCGAGGAGGAGCCTGCTCCCCGGGAAGGGAATGTCCTGCTTGTGCTAGGAGGTAACAGTGAGCGTGTGAGCCCAGACGAGGACCAGGAATCTGTGTGCGTCCTGTGAACAGAGCAGGTGAAAGTGTGTGCGCTGGGGGAGTGTCTGCTGCTTTTTTGGTGGGTGTTTTTTTTCAAGAACCCCTTGGCTGGGCTCTCTGGCCACTGTCTTAAGAGCTCTGCCAGCTCTTACCTTGGTGCACAAACCCCAGACTGGCGGCCTCTGATAGAGGATGGGGAATAACCACCGCTGCCAGTAACAAAGTGAAAGCTTGGGAACCTCTGCTCTTACGCACGTGTCAAAAAATCAGTCTCTGATTGGTATTACCTTCACACTCAAAACCCACGTAAAGCCAGAAAAATCCCTAAAAGCAGATGAAATCCTGTTGCAAAGTTAACAAGTCTGCTGTTGTCTTGTGTGTTGGCTTGTGGAATTGGGTACGTTTCAGTGTTACAGGCAAATGCTCAGGTTGGTGCTGGGCCATAGGGGCTGCCTGGGGAATGCCTTACCCAGCCCAGGTGACTGCTGCATGGCCTCTGGGGCTGGCCAAGCACACGCGGCCGGTGGCCAACTGGCTGCAGCCCAGGGCCTGGTCCCACCTGGCCCATCTCTCTCCTTTGCATCACCTCCTACATACATCAGATACTTCACCTGGTTTGCCCCAGAACGGTGGGCTGTGGCTGGGCACCTGCAGCCAGGCCCTGCCCAGGC